GTCTCTAAAAAAAAAAAAAGGAAAAGAAACAGTAATGAAAAAGCTACGAACTGAAGCAACTAACCCTCGCAGCTCCATTTAGTATGACTATGACGGTCAGTTTATTTCAGAGTAAACTGACATTTAAGATAAAATGGCAAAAAGTCACAAAGCTTTAACTGGACGCGCCCGGTTGTCTCCTAGTCTGATCTACGTTCCTAATCACTCGTCCATCCTGCTCTTTTCAGAAGCCAGACGTTTTTCTATTGGCTGGGATACAAGCGGCCCCGCGCCTCTGACCCACCTCCCATCCCGAAACTCGCGCTAAAAGGCTTCCCCGCTGTCGATTTCCCGGCCGGCAGCTCGCGTGAAGGAAGACCCGGGCTGGAGTTAACCGATTGTTCCCCATTCGGTACGACTGGCAAAAGGTGGCAGAAAGAACAGAAACAACCAGCAAAACAGAGTGGCGGAGGCAATATCACTCCTATCACAGGAGCAAAACTTTCCTCCCAAACGTTCCCGGTGCACTTACACAACTCGATCCAAAGCGTCCATAACTAGCTGTCTCCGCAAATCCAAGCTGGAACACGCACGTGCACTCCGCGGTTGCGCAGAGCCGCTTGCTCCGGCACAGGCGGAACCGGAAGCTGCCGTGACACCACTTCCGGGACGACTAGCCGTGCTTGCGGCCATTTTGGGTAGCATCGCGCCTTGTTCTCTTGGTTACGGGTTCTTTTTCCGAAATTAAAGGTGCAGGTTAACGCTTCGTCTCTTGCAGCTTGAGGTATAGTCCTGATATTCGGGAGCCAGGTTTTATTCTCCACCACTATTTAATTCCAGAACCTTTGTTAAGGGGGGCAGGGTCTTATTTTGTTGCTCAGGCTAGAGTGCAGTGGCCTCATCATAGTTCACTGCAACCACAAACTGCTGGGCTTAAGGGGTCCTCCTGTCTCTACCTTCCAAGTAGCTGGCTTACTGTTCTATTTTTTTTTTTGTAGAGATAGGAGCTTGCTCTTGTTCAGGCTGGTCTCAGACTCCTGACCTCAATCCTCCTGCCTCCATCTCCCAGAGTGCCAGGATTAAAGGCCTACGCAACTCCCTCAGCCTAATTCCAAAACATTTTATCACTGCAAATGGTACTCTTCGCATCAAGTAGCACTCACTCCCCATTTTTCCCTCTTGTTGACCCTTGGCAACCGCTGGTCTACTTTATATTCCATGGATTTACCTATTCTGAACATACATAAAGGAATTCATACAATGCCTTTTGGTGTCTGAATTCTTTTACTGTTTTTTTGTGAACTCTATTGGATACATAACACTTGTATATCTTTATAGGGTGCGTATGA